CGCGGGGAGAGGGGTCGCCCAGGCGGCGGGGACCGAGCGGCAGAGAGCAGACCAAACTTTCTCTGCGATGGGCGTCCCGACTTTATGGGAACCTCCGCCCGCGGGGCGCAGGACTCACCCTCTGCTTAAAGGGCGGCGGGGGCGGGGGCGCGGGGGCCTCGGGCTGCCCATGGGCTTCCGGGCCTCTTCGGGACGATCCCGAGCGCTCGTGGCTGTCTCTCCGGTGGAGAACAAGAAAGAAACTATCCCGCGATCCCTCCGACTCCTCCAACTCTCCTAAAGGTCAAACAATCTTTGAGCATTTTCGGGAATGCACGCCTACCCGCGTCCGCGCCTCTCTGCCTACGTGCGGGCAATTCCGGCCTCAAAGTTAGACGCACGCGCTAAGCCCGGCCCCCGAGGGCCCGAAGCATCAAAACTCGGGACCTTGAGCGTCCTGGAGGGAGTGTCGCCGTGGCCCGGCCTGTGGCGGCGCAGGTGGCTGAGTCCTGCCGCTCCGTTAGCCTCACGCTCAGCAGAGCGGGGGTTTTTATAGCGAAGGCGCGTCGCTCACGTGTTCCTCGCCGCGTGGTCGCGGAACCTTTCCAAGAGCGGATCTCCGCGGGAAGCCTTCCCGAGGTCTCTAGGCTCCAGAGGGGTCCTTCCTGCCCCCGCCCTGGAGCATTCCCGGGCCACTCCGCCAGCTCGGCGGCTCCAGCAGCCCCGCGCCGCCCGGTGCGCGCCTGGGCCCGGCAGGCCCTTGGGGGCTCTGGGGAGCGCCGCTCCGCGCAAGTTCCCGCAAAGTGCAGGTGGCCACGGATTGAGGCGGGGTGCTAGAGATCAGAGTTGGCCGGTGGCCGCTTTTCCAAGTCCGTTCATAGCGTTGAGTCGGCTCCACCTGACGCTGATCCGACGGGGCCAGAGTGGACGCGAGTGGAGTTGGGGTGGGAGCGCTAGGGGTCTGGTTTACCGCCGGGGTGACGCGAGATGCGGAGGGACCCAGGCGTAAAATTGCCATCTCCGTTCCACCCTCGCTGCACCTGCTGAAATACTGCAAATTCCAGGGGAGAAAGGAGGACCTCGTAGAATAAAAGGGTGATTGTACTGCGGGGTGGGGGGAAGGGAGGAGGGTGTGTTTGGATCCTTAATTGGAGTGTGAGCTTTGGGGCAGGAATTCCTGTCTTCGAGAGAGGAGGAACAGTTTTTCCAAATCTTTGAGATTGAAAGGGGCTGGTTAGGCACAGGATGAAAGCAGCTCAGGTGCAAGTTTTATCTTCCCACCTGGGGCTCCTGCTGTAGGCGGCTCCTGACCTCCTCCTGGCCTGCACTTCTCCTGGGTCCTGCTGGTGGCAGTGAAGTCCCACGCACTGCACTTATTTTCTGACCCCACCCCATTCCCAGCACATGCTTTCTGGGGTAACCTTTTGGAAGAACTGGGTCTCTAGGTTTTTAAGGCTGCCTCTCCACTACTGAGAACCAGGGGGCAGTCAGCAGTTCTTCCTCTGTCATAATTTGATGCAACCAATAAAGGAGCCTTGAACATGCCCAGGCGTTCGTTCAACTGATTCCATTTAGCAAATTCTCTCCTTCCCCTTTCCAGCCTTATTACTCCCAGGTGGGAACATTCTCCAGCAGAAGGAGGTCTCTGAAAGATTTCCTGATGTCCCAGGAGGTATGGACTTGAGAGTTCTGGAACAGGTTATGAATATACAGTATCTCTTACAGTATCAGCCTTTATAAGTGTATAGTATTTATTACTGGAGAAAAGAGCCAGGACCACTTTATGCCTAATCTCAACGTTTATAGGAAACTGATAAGAAGTTGCCAGATTGTCAGCGACCTGCTTCCTTCCTTTCTTCCTCCCCCCCCCCCACTTATTTGGTGGTTTCTTTCTTAAAAATCAGATTGGTGTTTGTGTCTCCTGACCTTTGCTTCACATCTCAAAGTGTTGCACTTTCTTAGGATGACTTTGGGATTTTTGGCAGCCTCTATAACCTAATTAACTGTTCTAGACAGGCCGAAGTTTAACATCTGCCAGTGTCACTGCAGACCAAGGATGCAGAGGAGAAAGAATTTCACATTTTCTGTGGGGCGGTGTTTTAAAGGGCTCCCTGCACAGCCAGCTTTGCATACGTAGAGCCAAATGCTGTCTTTGGGTTATCAGGGAGGTTTCTACGTAAAGGCACCTGATCAGCCACCTCCCTTCTTCACATGTGCACGCGCGCACGCGCACACACACACACACACACACACACACCCCCCTTCTCCTACCTTCTTCGAAGTGTTCTGTCTCTTGCTAATATCTGATATTCTAAAACCAGAGATTCATTCATTAGCATGAAAGTGGCATAAGGGGAGTGTCAACCATGGCACTAACACTTTATTAGGAATTAACTAGATTTAGTTCCCGCCCTGAGGCCATGTTGGCTATACCAGTGGAGAGAGAGAGAGAAAGAAAGAAAGAAAGAAACTGGAGGGAGGAGGGGAGAAGCTGGTTGAATGTGGAAACCAGGCCCTGACTTAAAGCTTGGAGACGGTTTTATTTTTATATATCTGTTTAAAACACTTTACATTTTCTCCTCTTCATCAAATATTGAACATGTTATTATTATTCCCATCTTACACGTGAGAAAGCCAAGCCTCAAAAAAGAGAAAGGGCTTGTTCAAGGTCATATAACTAACACTGGATTGGGGATCCAGGTACTGTGGCTCCTATCTCAGCCCTCTTGGCAACAAACCTCTTCTGTTTTCTAATTTTGCCTGGGTCTGGCCCTAGTTGACATCTTTAGTAACCTGGAAAATAGATGCGCAGGCCTGTGTTCACAGGTGTGGAAGGCTGGTTATCACTTCTGCTTTCCTTATGGGAGAGAAGGTCTATGGTCTGCAAGATCACACAGGACTAGACTCTTCCAACTTACAGGTTGTTGATTGGATGACAAAGACTTCCAGATTCCTTGTTTTCTCTGGGTTCTGTTGTTTCCTCATAAGACCACAGGTAAACCCATATCCTCACAGTTGGCTGGAAAGTTTAAAGCATTTAGAAATTGGAAGATAAAAGTACATGAAAATGGGCTTGGAACCAAGCTTGTGATCAAGGGCAGGTATTTCTTTCTCTATCCTCTCACTCACCCCAATTAGCAGGATAGAAGACTACAGAAAGGCGTCTGATCTTTATGAAATGATGGTCCCAGCCCTTGATAAAAACAGGGCTGTTCAAAGGTGCAATCACTGCTAGGTTCTTTGTACTCATACTGCTAGGAAGAACAGTGTGGTCCTGGGATCCAACTCCCCTTGATATATGATAATGCCCCCCCCCCCAAGTAGTTTTATAAAACAGGAGGAAGGAAACTTAATCTAGTATATTGATATACTGAGTGCCTGTAAGCTAGACACTGTATTAAGTTCTTTTAATCCCACGATTTCTGGAGCCAGGGCCCAACACCTCTAATATCTCCACTTGTCCCTTTTTGGACACTGCTGTCCCTTGTATACCTTTTCTGGGGTGCAAACATCACCTTTTGTGATGTATGTGCAGGTTGTCCTGTCCAAAGTCCATGTTATGCAAATATACCTCACCTACTTCCCTTCCCTGCAATGGTGGTGATTTTTCACTTATCTCCATGGCTGTATCTCTTGGCCATTTCATCCTGCTTAGATGACAGGGCTGGTGATCATAAAGCACAAGCAGAACCCCTGTGACTGACACTGACCCAGCAGAAGGAAGATCCATCACTCAACCTGTATTTGGCTACATGTATATTCACTTTTCTATACATCAAATATCCTGGCTTCTTCTGGACCAGTGTTCTGTATTTGTCCATGTGGATAGAAGTGGAAATAGAGCCCCTGGTGCTATAAAGATGACCAAATTATCACACCATACTATTCTGACTATCTCAGGAAACCTAGCCAATGAAGCCAATGATGTGTTTTCGTATTTCCCAGACTTGATAAGAATATCAAATTTAATATTACACCAATGTTCAAGGTGGCTCTCGGATTTGGGTGATCAGTGTTTGAATCTGTTTGGCTAATGTGAGGAATGGATGATACAGGTCCACTCAGATGAGGACTCTGCTTTTGGACCATCAGGAACCCACTTAACTTGTTTACAAAATGGAAATTTTTGGTGTGTGTGAGAATTTGTCAGCCTAACAATTTGCCAACAGAGACTGTTGATTCAGAGGAGTCTGCAGCATGATAGAATTCACAGCAGCTTGGTTTTAAATAAAGTTACACCTTTCTGAAATTGCTATCTGTTTTCATGACTCAGAAATTCTAACTTTATATCCACCCCCTTCCAAATCTGTTTAATATGTTTTTTGATCAGTCTGCCTCTTACAACCTTCTAAACACATTGTTTTGCAAGCACTATGCATACCACACAAAGCAGAAGAAAGTAAGGTAACTTGCTTAATAAAATTTTGTAGATTAATTCATATTTCTAAGTCAAATGTTTTATTTTCATTTTATGACTGTCAAATATTTTCCTCATCATGATGTTAATCTTAAATACAGTACCTTTAAACATCCTCTTCTCTCTTGTTCTATCATCTGATACTTGTTTGGAGAATTGCTTTTTACAAACCTCTTTCATACATATTAACTCATTTTGATTCTAATCCTGAGAGGTAGGTTCTGCATTAATTAAACTCCCCCTGCCCACCTTTTTTTTTTTTAAATATGAAAAAGCAGATCAAGAGATTTTAGTGGCATGTCCAAGTTCATTCAGTTGGTGAATGGCAGAGCCAGTATTAAAACTAAATCTCTGAACACCAAACCATGGATTTAATTACAATGTATCACATGGCAACCAATGTATAATAAGATCCCAATCTTGGATCA